AGATTCAAGAAAGGGCAGTGTTGATTGTTAGTATTAGCTTTATATAAAGTCAGTTCTGCAGGATAAATCTCTTTAGTGTACATTTTGAAGTTGTCGTTATTGAGAGCAAATATATCATCCAAATATCTAAAAGTGTTATTAAATATTTGTATCAGATGTTGTTCCAATGGGTCTTTGCTGATTTTAGTCATAAAATGTTATCTCGTAAAAATTTAAGGGCAGTTATCGTATCAAAGCAGGTCTAATTGACATAGTTCATTTGTTAATTGTTAAAAAATGTACTTAAAAATTACCTAAAAGAGTTTGAACATATATATTCGCATTCTGAGAATTTAAATGCCCATTTAATTATGTAAGTGATTTTTTTCTTAATAAGATCATGAGGCAAAGTGGTATATAGGGTAGAAATAAACAAAACGTTGAACAGATTCGAAATCACCAATATAAGCATGCAATGTATCCGTTTTGAATTTTCCTCGGAGTTCAGTATTTTTGTGATTTAACTTTTTTTCAAGTACTTTCAACGAATTTTTGACTCCCAAAAAGTAATTAATTCTACTATTTTCAAAGGCCTTATTTGAACAATTTATTACCAAGTTTTTGATTGTACCAAGTGTACTAGTAAGTAGAATAGACAGTTTAGTAGTGGAACAATGGCCTGCAGACGAAATAGTTCGATATTTGTAAGGTGTTTTGTGCAGCTTCGGAAGCCATTACACAGTTGGAACTTTCATTGTATTTGGTTCTGCTTGTAAAGAGGTAGCTAAAAGTTTATGTTTGTTACAGATGTCATTTTCCGAAAATGGAGTCAATTGGAATGTTGGTGAATTCGTGATTTCCTTTTGCAGAAACTCAATGTAAAATTTACGTCAAACAATAATGATATTATTAGCAGCCTTATCAGTCTGGACAAAAACAAATTCCTTGGCGAGTTTCTTTAGCTTATATTTGATACAAAAAATGGGGCTATTATGGTTGTTGTTAGGAGTAAGATGTTCTTTAAAATGTTTAATCAGAATATCAACCTTTTATTTATAGAATTCCTTTATATGATATCGGTGAGAAAGAACCACCACCTACAAATCAAATTATGGTTAACGATGGTTTAAATAGTATTTTATACAAGCTGGCGTCTGTTGGCAATTGCCTATGGCGGTCAATTTTGCGATGCCCCTTATATCAACATTTGTCACATTAAAAAAAAAATGAAAAAAAAAAGTGTTGTAAAAATTTTATACAAAATTGATTTACTTGAAAATATAATATGTATTACAATAATGATAATTTGTTAATATCATCTTCAAGGCACTTGCAATGAATAATTTCCCACAGATATTGTGACTTGTTTATAGTCCTTTTCAAACAAGCATGCAGTATAAAAACATAATTGAGTTATTTTTCTTTGTGCCTAATTTTTAAGAAGTTATCATTTGATTTTTCTCAGGGGTTTCTCAGCAAGAAACATGTTATAGCAGACAAGAAGAAGGTGTGTATCTATATAAAGTATCTAATTCATACACATGACTATAAATTAATTAAGAAATGTTATTTTATGCATGAAATTCAAGTTTCTATAAAAAAGTGCAATCAATTTGTCATCTGATTTAATATATCTGGAACCTTTAAGATAGTAGCTTATTAGTATTGAAGATATACACAACAGTTTCATATACATGGTTTTTAAAATTGCAGGTCAAACATGACAATTTATGTCTGATCAGTTCATAGTGAAGGTTTATAGACAGCAAGGGCTGTTTCTTAATAGTTTAAATGCAGTTATAACATACTTAGGTGACCATGCATGTGTCAATAAATGAAGAGTAATAGAAATAAATATATTGTATATGATATGACTTTTCCGGTAAATTAATCAATAAGGGATGATATGTCTATAAATATTAATTCTTTTTATGTAAGCATCTTCAAGGCACTTGCAATGAATAATTTCCCACAGATATTGTGACTTGTTTATAGTCCTTTTCAAACAAGCATGCAGTATAAAAACATAATTGAGTTATTTTTCTTTGTGCCTAATTTTTAAGAAGTTATCATTTGATTTTTCTCAGGGGTTTCTCAGCAAGAAACATGTTATAGCAGACAAGAAGAAGGTGTGTATCTATATAAAGTATCTAATTCATACACATGACTATAAATTAATTAAGAAATGTTATTTTATGCATGAAATTCAAGTTTCTATAAAAAAGTGCAATCAATTTGTCATCTGATTTAATATATCTGGAACCTTTAAGATAGTAGCTTATTAGTATTAAAGATATACACAACAGTTTCATATACATGGTTTTTAAAATTGCAGGTCAAACATGACAATTTATGTCTGATCAGTTCATAGTGAAGGTTTATAGACAGCAAGGGCTGTTTCTTAATAGTTTAAATGCAGTTATAACATACTTAGGTGACCATGCATGTGTCAATAAATGAAGAGTAATAGAAATAAATATATTGTATATGATATGACTTTTCCGGTAAATTAATCAATAAGGGATGATATGTCTATAAATATTAATTCTTTTTATGTAAGCAAATATAATAACTGCTTTGTAAATTATTTCATGCATTTAAAAATACTTATGATACTTAAAAATGATATATGCACTATTCTAAACTTCATTACATCATAAGATGTTTCATGACACATCAGTCACTGTGTTTTTTTACATGTACTTCAGATCTGTCTACTCTACTGTCATATACATGTATTTATATATTGATATGAAAACTTGGGAAGAAAGAAACAATGGTATACGATCGCTCATGTGCCATATTCCATTAGAATTGGTTCCATTATGAAGAGTATAAACTATCAATTCAGTTCTCAGAATAAAAGAAAACAAAATTTTTAAGTATTTTTACATTTCAGACAGCATAACGATTCGATCAGATATATGCCGCAGCACCTGTCTTACCAGTTCAAGCACAGAATGCTACTCCCACATGCCATACTGTTGATGGTAATTATTACTTAGACAATTGCATTTGTTTAGTAATTTTTTTTTCAATTCTGCATGTCATATAAAGTTGCAATGTTGTTTTGCATAAATATAAAAATAGATTAATAATAATATTATGTTTGTGTTAAAAAATCTAAATATAAAAAAAATTATTATACAAATGTCTCTGTAATAGCATTTGTAAGTTAATTCAAATGATTTTCATATATTTTCTATTGTTGTTTTGTTTGTCACAGAACACACTGACTTATTGATAGAATAACAACTTTTCAGTAATTCATTTTTCAATGTTTTTATTATACCATTCCCCAGGCTATTTTGTCCATTTTTTTTGGTTTTCCATTCATTTTGAATCTTGTACATAGTATTAGGATTTTGAAAAAGGGGGCTTTAAGATGGAAGTTTAAGAATTGGGCTTGTAAAATGTCTTTGCATAAATCAAACATTTGGCTTCATAAGGGGGACCCTAGACCCCTCTTTATCTTCATCTGTGTATCATAACCAACTCATTCAAATGCAAATATGAATTAATTTTCAAATATATATACTTAACACATACCATGCACTGAACTAAGCAAAATCTTTATGTAAACTAATTCTCAAAAAAATGGAAGATATCTGGATTAGGAGACTTGAGCAGGTTCACTAGAGAAATGAAGAGTTTACACATTATAGTGCTACTGTTCATGCCAGCCTACCAGTACCTGCACATATACAGACTTGCACTCAGCAACAACTAAAACCCAGGTATATGTTTCATATGTAAAAATACAGCATTGGCCATGATGTGTTCACACTAGTTGTTTAGCAAATCTGATGACATAATTTTTCCCACTGATTTTTACAGTTTGTTCTCAGATATGTTATGTTGTAATATATTACACCATTGACCCTGCTTAGGGCAGACCAATTGAGTTCTCACAAGCATGTTTTACTATTGCCTCGTTTCTTTAGTGCCTGTCCCAATTAAGGAGTCTGTATAACAGTAAATGACTTGGGTTGCTGTTTGTTAATCTGTTTTTTTCATTAATCAAGTTGTTTTTCATTTAATTGTTTCATGTTTTGTCATGTCAGTTCTTTTATAGCAGACTAAACAGTATGCGTTTTCCTCATTGTTAAAGGCTGTGAACAGTGATCTGAATTTGTTTAAATCTGCCTCCTTTGGGCTCTTTGGGATAATTGTCTCATTGTCAATGATATATAACACATCTACTTATATTATTAGAAGATTGTTTCTGCCTGTATAATATAAACAACCTTAGGAAAAAAGATTGAAAACTATAATGATCTTGATCATTGTTCTTGTACATTTTGTGTAAGTGACTTTGTATCTAAATGGGCAAAAAGTTTGTTTGCTGCAAACAGTTCGAAGGTTATGACATTATATTTGTGTCAGACAAACAAAATAAAGGCATATTAACACAATTTCCATATCACCTAAATATGTATTCATTACGAATAAATTGTATGAATATACCAGTGAATACTTTTCATGTTTTAAAAATTAGACTTCATGAATAGACTCAATCAAATGCATTGTAATTCAATGACAATACTTATACTAATTGATAGAGAATTTCCATTACCATTATAATTTATTGAGTGCTGTATAAAATCATGAGTTGTCTCCCTTTAAATTATATTACTAGAATTACCAAATAATAAAATGTCTATATTTCAGTGAGAGTAAGCAGCAGAAGAAAGCTAAGAAAACTGTAGACGATGTTTATGAGTTGCAGTGTCAAGTTTAAGAAAGTGACATTAGAAGAAATCAAGTGCAGATGGAATTTTCCCATAGACAAATACAATTCTATGATTTAATAATCCAGAAGAAAACTTTATATGATATTAGATGCTCTTCTAAAGACAGAAGCTTAACCAATATTTATTTATTTATTGTTCTGTGTTAATGATTTGTATTATCACATTTTATTCTTATTGATGAAAAAAGTATTAAAATATTTTTCCATGATTTATTTATGAATTTCAATGATTACAAAATGTTATAGAAATATGATCTCTAACAGCTCTTCCATTTTGATCTCCATTGAACTGTTCCCGAAGATGACCATCATTGCCTACAGTTAATCCATCATCTTCAATGTCAGGTTCATTCAACAAAATGCATATATTGTGGAGAAAAGCACAAGCAATAATTATTGTGCATGCCTTGCAAGGTGTCATTCTTATCTGAAATATAAAAAAAATACACAAAACTTATGTTACACTTAATCTTCATGTGTTTTTGCTTAAAGTGGTATTCTCTTATAATTTTTTTTAAGTTTCAAAAGTTGACATTTAATATATGTTTATACAATGTATAAACATAAGAAGCTGTCGTATGAGTGGCAATGAGACAATTCTCTGTTGTTAAAGTAATCAAATATAATAGTTTACAGTATGGCCTTCCACATGGAGCCTTGGCTCATACCAAATAGTAAGCTATTAAAAAACTCTCCTAATCTGAGACTCAAGTGTAACAAAATACTACATAAAGTGTCTCTATAGTGCTATACCACACATCTTATTGTGGTCAGCATTTCAAAGGATGTTGCACTTTGATAAATCAGTTAAATGTTTCAAAATTATGTTGTCCAATTGATGTGTTAGTAGCACTGACCATTCATCTGTTGATGGGGCAAGGTTTTTTTTTTATAAATTGAAACGTTATGTTCACACTATGCGGACTTCATATACAGTAGTGTGCTCCTTACGCAGAAACTGCTCCAACAAAGTGATGAGGAGGAAAAATTGAAATTGAAACTCCGTTAATTTTATGGACACCATCACGAATTGGTTGATCCATACGATGTGTCTTTGTCTAAACTAACTAAGGACATTTTCACCACGTCTTAGACTGTGGTTTACCATTTACATCGTCTGGTCTTTTAAGTACCGAACTTAACTTATTCTCGAATATGACTGTTTTGCTGAGTGTGGATTCGCATTGCTATAAGACGTGTCTCGGTATGTGTACATCCAACATTGATGTATTTAGTTGTGATGTTTTATTTGTAACTCTGATTGGATATTGTTTTATGTCTTATCGTTTGTAGTTGTAATTCTATTTTTTTTTCTATTCGTATGTTAAGTAAAGATGATTAATCACCCTGTTAATTTATATGATTTTAGTTCAAAGCAACCATATGTACAGGATGTATTTGTTTTACAGTTTGATTTCGAAGAAATACTGACATAGTTAGATAGTACAATTAATTACACAATTACTAAAACAATTCTATATTAATATTTATGTAATTATTATAAAATACATTAAATAACATAATTACAAGCCTAATCTCGATTTCGATCCATTTTTTAGAAATTTACCTGTGACGTCACTTTTTGTGGAGCTGATACATTCGTTTGACGCACAGTTCGTAATTCTATTATGCTGTTTTTGTGTTCTGTCCTAAATTATTTTAGGTATTCGTTGTTATTCTGTGGTTAACATGTCGAAATGTAGTATTATATTACTTATTTATGTATTTCTCTGTCCTGAGTGTTCTTGCATTTATTTGTTCTGTATTCCTGTCACGTAATGTTGTCATTTTAGCGGTATATTTAACATTTCCATAAAGCAAGAGGTTTGTCTAGCCAACAAAACCTAGTTCAACCCACCATTTTTTTCTTAAAATGTCCTGTGCCAAGTCAAGAATATGGCAGTTTTTATCTAATGGTTTGTTTCTAGGTATGTTGCATTGTCGATTGATTTTGTTGCTTCGTATTGTGTTGATTTGTATTGAGAAAATAAGAAGCCTTCTTACTGTTAATATATAATGCTTGAAAGGAAGTATGACTAATACAAGATGGCCAACATTGCAATAAAATACATACTTGTGAAGTCCTGAATATGTGCGAATAATGACTGCAACCTAGCCAGTGTATTTATGTTTGTGAATTTACCTGCAAAATATAGAAGATTATATATAATGCAAATCAGAAAAAAATGTTGTAATATCATAAACAGATTTATATGTAACAAACTATCATTTATTAAGTGTTGGATTTTTGTAATTAAGAGGTGTAGCAAGAGTATCAAAGAGAGGATTATTTGGGATCATGCCACAGTGAACTAAAAAATAAAATTTATTTGAATCCCTATTTTAAAAGTCTTGCAATAGTAATTTAAAAGGGGTGTCCAAACGTCTCCAACTATGGGTGTATGTTTGCTTTAAAGTTCAGTAAACACAATGAATAAGTGATGTACAATGTATGTACTCACATGACTCTGAATTATATTGTTTCAAACTAGGTAAACATGATTTTAATATTAATTAAATCAAACGTGCTAATGCATCTTATTTTTTTATAGTTGATCCACATCAGAGCAATATCAAATCCTAAATTGTACTTTAGGGTAACCTAGGTTAATCTTTCTTTCTTTTGGATTGGAAGGGACATTTATTTCAGAAACAATTTAAGTGCCGGTGCTCATATATCATCCTTTAAATTACTTATAAGTTTAAGAAATGTATCTGAAACAGAATCTTTTTCTCATTTAAGAAAAATAACTCCTTTTTATATTTGACTAACAAATATTTTAATTTACCTTTAGCAGGTAAACCATATAACTTATTTAAAAGGCTATCATACTTTTATGTCCTAGATGAAGGTTTTAAACTGAAGTGAAAATGAAAGTAATTACTATGCGAGAAACAGACTTTAGGGGTCCCAGTCATACAACAAAGGTCAAACCAGTTTATTATGTTATGAAGGTCAATGTCATATTAGACAGAAATGTTTTACCTCTGGCATCACATACAGCCTGCACATTGACAGAATGTACCCCTTTTCTATTCACAAATGATGGTTCATCTTTTAATAGAGCCTGGATACTGACGTGTGTCCCATGTATTGCTCCTAGCACATTTAGAAACTAATTTAGTCGGTAAAAGTCTCCTTCAGTTTCATTGACAATTCTCGGCAACTTGATCAATTCATCCCGCTTGTCACATACATAATTCAAAACATCAGACACAATACGGGAGACAGTTCCCTTGTGCAAACCTGTAACCACACCAAAAACAACAACATACAGTTTTGGAGTTCGATAAAGTAGAAATAAAATTTATATTTTACCGTTTGCTTATATATTTTTTAGAAAATCAACAAATTGAAAGTATCATTCAAACATCAGCCAATGTTAATTTTAGCAGTCGATTAACACCACATTGCCAATGTTTACTCAATTTTTAATAATATAAGATGAATATATAATGAAAACCTACCTATTCTGTCTCCAACTACTTGTAACAAGCTTTCTGTGGTTAAAAATCTCAGGGTTACCATTACTTGATGTGGCACAGTGAGTGCATGGTTTCTATTTGTTTCTCTTTTAACATCATAGCTGATTAAATTGGATAAGAACATAATACCTTCTCTTCAAAATCTGTATCTTTCTCTCAATTTCTCATTTGACAAAGTGAAAGAAAAGTCATCCTTGAGGCGAAAATGCTTTTTTTTCTGTAAGGTGAAACAGGCACATGCATGAAGGCAGCCATATTTAACGACAACTTAGATATATAATCGACCTCCCAGAAGTTGTCAAAGTTAACGTCTCTTTAGCATTGCTTTTGTCGTGAAATGTTTTGAACAACAGTTAATAAATTTGTTGAATTAAACGACTCTCTAACGACACTTTAGCGACTGCGTTAGCTTAACGACACTTTTGAACAACTGGGCCCTGGGGAAACTTTCCTTAAATTTCTTATCCAAAAACGTTCCCGAGCAAGTCTGTCGGTCCTTGACCAACCCTCGTTGTGATTTATGATAGTGATGGTAAGGTTTTTAAGATCTGCTTGGGCGTGCCCAGATGATCTGAAATGACGACTTACCGGGAAGTCGGGTTGCAGGTGTAGTTACTTCGATGACCATTCATGTGTTTGTTGTTCTGTCCCGCCAACACATTGTATGCCACATCGACACTGAAGAAGTTGATCAGATTGCTGTATATCTTCATCATACCAGAAGCCTCCGTTTAAAAAGGAGGTTTAAAAATATTGCAAGCGATATTAAGGAAATCATTAAAATTTATATTTCAAAATAGATTTGATAAATTATGCAGAAGTGAAAATGTTTCGGTGTTAGATATATGAGATCATTGTGGATGATTGAACCGGAAATACTGAGAATTAAAATCAGAAATTGAATCAACATATTTGTTTTCGTTTTTTGTTTGATAAAATCACAAACGAATAACGAAAACACTTCCGTTTTTCATTCTTTGTTTCAAGATATTAAAATACGAAAAACAAAGCCACTTTTGTTTTTTCTTTTCAGTTTTTGAGAAATCAAAAATGAAAAACGAAAATGTTTTCTTTTTTTTTTCATCTTTTGTTTTATGGATTAAAAAACGAAAGATGAAAGGGACTTTCAATTTTCATTTGTTGTTTGTTTATTAAAACTCAAAACGAAAATCGAATGGACGCATATACACACGCATCTCCAATCTATGTATATTTCAAAATGTAAATATTAATAATATCGTGATAAAGTAATGAAATATAAATACAAAAAAAAAAACTCAAAACGAACATCGAATGGACACAAATACACACGGATCTCCAATCTATGTATATTTCAAAATGTAAATATTAACAATATCGGGATAAAATAATAAAATATAAATACAAAAATCAAAGGATTAACGTTAACGTATTTGCTTTTATAAACCTGAACAGAGAGAGTAATTGGGCATAATAATAGTCAAAAGACAAACAAATACAATCGGTAGTCGACCTTCACAACCTTTTTTATATGCTATTCTTAAATGACATCATACACATTATTTTTCTGAAATATTGCAATGGATTAAAAAAGATTCAGGAACAGCGTTAATTAAGCTTTGCACAACCTTTTGGAATTTTGGGTCATCAATGCTCTTATCTTTAGGCCTGACACCTTTGATAACTATTACCTTGTCGTAATGTTCTATTGTATTGTTTATTTGTGTGTTTCTCTGTCCTGTATGTTCTTCCATTTATTTGTATTGTAGTCCTGTCATGTAATGTTGTCATTTTAGTGTTATATTTAACATTGCCATTAAAGCGGGAGGTTTGGCTAGCCACAAAACCAGGTTCAACCCACCATTTTTTTCTTAAAATGTCCTGTACTAAGTCAGGAAAATGGCTATTGTTATCTTATAGTTCGTTTCTGTGTGTGTTGCATGTTAGTGTTTCTGTTGTGTCTTTGTTCTTCTCTTATATTTGATGTGTTTCCATCAGTTTTCATTTGTAACCCCGGATTTGTTTTTTCTCAACCGATTTATGAATTTCGAACAGCTGTATACTACTGTTGCTTTTATTTGCTACGATGTTTTGAACAATCATTTAAACATCAACACTACCAGAAGATAATAATATTGTTTGAAATGACATATGAAAGATAATTTGATTTATATCTGAAATATTGTGCTATCATATTATGCTCATGTATTATAGCAATCGATTGTTAATAAGTGTTTTTCGAGAAATAACGAGTTTTGAACATAGATACTAGTGACCATAACCAAAAATCGACAGCAAATATAGAAAGATGCATCCTACAAACTTCAACATATTTACAAACAAAAACTATTTTGTATTCATGAAGGCTGATAAATCCTTTCAATTAGATAATAGTAATTAAAAATATTTGCCAAAAACCATATTTGAATAAATGTGGGGGCGAAACCTGCACTAATCTCGGTCGATTTTCAACATCGCAACGAAATGTTAATTTTAATGAATATGACAAAATGACGTGTCTCGATCTGTTCGTCAAACCTCAAATCCTGGATCTGCTCGTATTGTGTCAAATAGCTAAACATGATATAGCGTTATAAAAGAAACTGAAAAGGCATGCTGGATTATCCATCTTAATATCCTAGTTTGTACATGTAGTATATTTTAAAAGAAATACCGAGAGAGATTTGAAAATCGCGCAACTGCGTGTACTCCTGTCATAACACAAATACGGTTTTCGAATTTCAAATTCCATAAAATATCAATATTTGTAGCGTTGTGGTGTTTTAACAAAACGTTAAAGCCCGCTGTTTTCGTCTCTATTTTTTTTTTCTTTTTATTTGTGGATATCATAAAGATATTCGTTTTGTTTTTAATTAACATTGCATATAAAAAAAGAAGATGTGGTGTTATTGCCAATGATACAACTCTTCACAAAAGACCTAATGACACAGAAATTAACAACTATAGGTCACCGTACATCCTTCAACAATGAGCAAAGCCCATACCGCGTAGTCAGCTATTAAAGGCCCCGAAATGACAAATGTAAAACATTTCAAACGAGAAAGCTAACGACATTATTTGTGTACAAAAAAAAAGAACGAAAAACATATGTAACACAGCAACAAACGACAACCTCTGAATTACAGGCTCCTGACTTTAGACAGGCACATAGATACAGAATGTGGCGGGGTTTAACATGTTAGCGGGATCATAAACTGTTTGATGAAGTCATTGTGTATTGACAATTCCCTTCGAAACTCAACATGATTCCATTTCTAACATAATAAAAGAAAATCTAGAATCTTGTTTTTAATTCCTTAAAATTTCAAATCTGTAGAAATGGATCTTATGTCACTGTGTTGGATACCAAAATGTCATAAGTGCCAAAGTTGAATCAAAGGATAACAAATTGTTCATTAGGCAAATTCTATTGTCAGTCAAAATACTAATATAATAACAATATTTTTTTACTTACAAATATGCCAATGCCACGTTGTTCATGAAAGCATCATCAGGTACGCTAGTTAGATTATTGTTCGATAACTTCCTACATTAAATAAAACAAACCAGTTTTTTTTCAATTAAATGTTTTGTTTTAGATTTCGAAAACTTGCAGAAAAACAGATGAAGTATATAAAAAAAAGGCAATAGTAGTATATCGCTGTTCAAAAGTCATAAATCGATTGAGAGAAAACAAATCCGGGTTACAAACTACAACTGATGGAAACACCAACTATAGAGGAAAACAACGGAACAACAGAAACACTGAAGTGCAACAAAAAACAAACGCCAACATACATAGAAATGAACTATTTAATTCCAAATGTCCCATTCCTGACTTGGTACTTAAAGGAGAGTAAATCCTATGTATACAAGTCCCTTTGAACTGACAAAATGTAAAAACCGGTTGTATGACGATGTTTTTCATTGTATTAACATATGGTTTGAATAAACAAAGTACAATTAAGATGGACAACCTTGTCATTCGTTGGTTGTTTTATAACAGGTGTTGACTGTATCATGTGCACTTATAATTTATCTGTTACTTGACAAAATGGTACAGGTTTCAGCTATTTTTCCTTTTATTCACAACGTTTGATTTGTTAGGTGCATGATCATGACATTTTTAAAGACTTCGTTCTCCTTTCGATATGTTTTCAATATTTTTTATGTTTAGTCGCTGTGCTTATTCACGTATACCACAGTCTTCTTAAATCATAGTTTTTACGTACTATGAACGTTCAAGTTAAACACTAAGATGCTGTAGAAATGTCTTACAACAGTAAATTATATTCAATAACGCCGCATATGATTATGTTATCCTTACTGATGATATAAGAGCTAATCCGGAGGTAATATCTATTTTCTAGCGGGTTTCAAATAGATAAACATTTTAAAAAAGGCATCTCGGTATGTCATTTAGATTATAAGAATGGAAATTGTGTCCAAATTATGAATAGTTCTTGTCCAAATGTAACATCAAGTAATCAGGATATATCGGTCTTCTAGACCCGCCTGAATTCTCTTTCAAGCGTTTTTAAATAACTTTTACCTGTATATATTTACCTTTAATGCCAAACTAAAAATAATGTTAATGAAATTATATTTTACTTTGGATGATTTTAATATTACTATTCAACCTTAACTTTTTTGTGCGTAAATTCAAATATCTTCCCTCAGAAAGGAACAATTTAAATTGTGTAAACATCATTCTGTTTCAAACAAAAAGTTATGCATGGTCCTTTTATTGACAAACATACAATAGTAGTTCATATGGGTTATGAACTGTGCTACTCTTTCGACTTGTTTGTTGTTATTCACAAGAGTCGTTTGTCATACATAAAATAATAAAGAAGCTTACGTTATCCTTTAACCTCTGGTGTCGCTAAACAGACGATGTCCTGACGTTAAATAATTCACTGTTTGGTGACTGTGTTAAACACATCTATCTTATCGAACTTAAAATCAAGGATACCACCTAAATATATCTTGACTAACATTTAGGAATAAGAAGGATTGTTAGCAATAACACTGTAAATCAAAAGAATGAATTCAGTTTCAACTGTGATGTTTCCATTTCTAAGTAGCAACATTTTATTAGCGTTTCATAGAAAGTATAAATCTACGTGTTAAAACGATATTCAAGAGCTTGCGTTAATATCATTCTTTTTAGATAGAGAGTTACTGCTTTCGAGGAAGTTATCAAATAGTTGGTCAAAAGAGGTAAATCTGAAGTACTCTCCTTTCTCGAAAATTTAGCGTATGTCGTCATAAGTTTGTTGATTTTCTATGTCACAGATAACTACCGATTAGCTTCAGTTGTCTGAGTCACAACCCTGTCCTATAGTCTCGATGTTCACATAATCTAACACAAGTAAGGCTTATCATTGTCTTTTACCATGGACAACACGACCGGTTATACATATGGATCATGCACTGCCTACCTGTGCGGAGCGACTGTCATCATCCTCAGTGTTGGGTTCATGTCGGTCATACATTATTTGTATGTATTGTTTTGTAGACAGTTGTCTATCTTATGGTAGATTTTTCTATTTTCGTCGTAGTTTTGTGGGTTTCTGATCGAGTCATGTATTTGATTGTTCCTTTTGTATCTCCCGCATCCGTGTAATAACAATCTGGTCAGTATTTTACATTCATGTTAACACTTTTTTTTTTCATTACCTGGATTAAATTTAGAATTGATCAACAATATGGGGAATTAAACATACAATTCAATGTAAACGGTTTATGTTAGAGGTAATAAACGACCTATTTGTATCACATAATTTGTCTACATTGAACATATATGTTCGAAATAAAATAAACAGCAATGACCAGGGCAAAGGTTTGCAATGCCAAAGTTGAATCAAAAGTTTAGAATAACGAATTTTTGAAGGTAAATACTTTCCTGTCAACAAACATACTAACATGATTAAATTTATGTTTTACTTACAAATATGTCAACTCCACATTGTTCCGAAAAACAGCATCAGGTACGCTAGTTAGAATGTTGTTCGATATATCCCTACATAAAGATTAAAAAAAGCCCGTTTGTTCAATTAAATGTTTAAGATTTCGAACACTTACAAAAGACAGAGAAATACTTATATGAGAGTGATTCTTATAAGTTCATAGAATGTGGCGATAGTTAATGAGGAACTACCTAAAACAACGAGCAAAACTAGGCATTCTTAAACTACAGGAGCTAACATATTAATTCTAACAGCAATGTATTACCTGGTCTTCATTCCAGAGATGTTGGTTGTCTATTGTCCTCTCAAAAATGTTTGTTACTTGACAAATTAGTGCTGATCGCAGCTTGATATTTGTTTCTAATTTATTTAACGTCTCTTTGATTAATGCATGATAATGATATTTGTTTAAAGACTTTGTTCTCCTTTCGATAAGTTGTAAATATCTAGGATAGGCTTATTCACGTATGCCACAGTCTTCTTCAATTATGATTGTAACGTTCAATGAACGTTCAATTGAACTTTAAGATGCTGTAGAAATATCTTACAATAGTAAATCATATTCTATAACACCGCATAGGAATGTTATATACCTGTTAATGATATAAAAGCTTATCTGAAGGTAATATGTATTTTCCAACAAGTTTCAAACAAAGAAAAAAAATTAAAAAACATCTCGGTATGTCATTTTGATACCAAGAACAGAAATTGTGTCAAAATTTTGATTTTTTGTTGTGAATATACTTATGTTTTTACAAAACATGTTTTAACTACCATTCAAGTGATCAGAATATATTAGTCGGCCTGACCAACCTGCATTATTTCTAAAGCAATTCAAAGTAAATGTCTAACTAGATATATAAACCTTTTACATCGTTTATGCCGAACTAAAAATGATGTTCATGGAACTATATTTTACTTTGGAATATTTCAATATAACTTTGCATCCTTGATCATGTTGCACTTTGCACAAAACAGTAGATATAAGGTTCCCTATTTAGTTACATTCTTATTCATCACACCCATAAATATTCCAAGAAAGATTTAACAAATCAAAACAATAAATCAGAACACACATAACAAGTTCATATTATGTTTTAGATAAAAAAAAAATAACATAAAAACGGTGCAGTAACAGCAGGTATCGTATAGTTTTTGTCTGCTAGACAAGTCAAATCTGAGTCAATAGCCGAGGACCGTTCACCTCACTTTATGTGCAAGTGAACTATACAGCTGGTCTTTACTGGCCTGTATCTTTATAACTTTTATCTTGTATCTGAATTGTACGACCTTTTTGATTAGAGAGTAACACATTTTGTATTTTTGAGACAGTTGCAGATGAAACACAAAAGATGTATGTCCATACAGGTGTATGTACTAAATGTATGATGTTTGAAGCTATTTAGTTTTTAATAAATTAATGATTTTGCGTTAACACTCTTAGTTGTCTAAAAGGGGATACAAACTTGTAAAGGTGACCAGCAAACATAAAACCCTTCTCTATTCTACTATTGTCTTATAGTCTAGCAGTTAGTTAATGTATTTTTTTCATAAACATTTTCTTTCATTAAAAAATAAATGGCAAACAGTCTGGAGGCGAGAGTGGCGTCAATTAAAAGCTTTCTTTTGTCTCGCACCCCTTTTTGAAAGTTAGTGGATTGCCTCCTTTACCCCATTTCTAAGCCTCTACAAATAAATACCCTATTATCAGTGTAAATGTATGTCACAGATAACTACCGATTTGCTTCAGTTGTCTGAGCCACACTCCTGTCCTATAGTCTCGATGTTCACATAATCTAACAAAAGTAAGACTTATCTTTGTCTTTTACCATGGGCAACACGACCAGTTATACATATGGATCATGCACTGCCTACCTGTGCGGAGCGACTGTCATCATCCTCAGTGTTGGGTTCATGTCGGTCATACATTATTTGTATGTATTGTTTTGTAGACAGTTGTCTATCTTATGGTAGATTTTTCTATTTTCGTCGTGGTTTTGTGGGTTTCTGATCGACTCATGTATTTGATTGTTCCTTTTGTATCTCCCGCAGCCGTGTAATAACAATCTGGTCAGTATTTTACATTCATGTTAACACTTTTTTTTTTCATTACCTGGATTAAATTTAGAATTGATCAACACTATGGGGAATTAAACATACAATTCAATGTAAACGGTTTATGTTAGAGGTAATAAACGACCTATTTGTATCACATAATTTGTCTACATTGAACATATATGTTCGCAATTAAATAAACAGCAACGACCAGGGCAAAGGTTTGCAATGCCAAAGTTGAATCAAAAGATTAGAATAACGAATTTTTAAAGGTAAATACTTTCCTGTCAACAAACATACTAACATGATTAAAGTTATGTTTTACTTACAAATATCTCAACTCCACATTGTTCCGAAAAACAGCATCAGGTACGCTAATTAGAATGTTGTTCGATATATCCCTACATCAAGATAAAAAAAAAAGCCCGTTTGTTCAATTAAATGTTTAAGATTTCGAACACTTACAAAAGACAGAGAAGTACTTATATGAGAGTGATTCTTATAAGTTCATAGAATGTGGCGATAGTTGATGAGGAACTACTTAAAACATCGAGCAAAACTAGGCATTCTTAAACTACAGGAGCTAACATATTAATTCTAACAGCAATGTATTACCTGATCTTCATTCCAGAGATGTTGGTTGTCTATTGTCCTCTCAAAAATGTTTGTTACTTGACAAATTAGTGCTGATCGCAGCTTGATATTTGTTTCTAATTTATTTAACGTCTCTTTGATTAATGCATGATAATGATATTTGTTTAAAGACTTTGTTCTCCTTTCGATAAGTTGTAAATATCTAGGATAGGCTTATTCACGTATACCACACTCTTCTTCAATTATGATTGTAACGTTCAATGAACGTTCATTTGAATTTTAAGATGCTGTAGAAATATCTTACAATAGTAAATCATATTCTATAACACCGCATAGGAATGTTATACACCTGTTAATGATATAAAAGCTTATCTTAAGGTAATATGTATTTTCCAACAAGTTTCAAACAAAGAAAAAAAAATTAAAAAACATCTCGGTATGTCATTTTGATACCAAGAACAGAAATTGTGTCAAAATTTTGATTTTTTGTTGTGAAAATACTTATGTTTTTACAAAACATGTTTTAACTACCTTTCAAGTGATCAGAATATATTAGTCGGCCTGACCAACCTGCATTATTTCTAAAGCAGTTAAAAGTAAATGTCTAACTAGATATATAAACCTTTTACATCGTTTATGCCGAACTAAAAATGATGTTCATGGAAATATATTTTACTTTGGAATATTTCAATATAACTTTGCATCCTTGATCATGTTGCACTTTGCACAAAACAGTAGATATAAGGTTCCCTATTTAGTTACATTCTTATTCATCACACCCACAAATATTCCAAGAAAGATTTAACAAATCAAAACAATAAATCAGAACACACATAACAAGTTCATATTATGTTTTAGATAAAAAAAAAACAACATAAAAACGGTGCAGTAACAGCAGGTATCGTATAGTTTTTTTCTGCTAGACAAGTCAAATATGAGTCAATAGCCGAGGACCGTTCACCTCACTTTATGTGCAAGTGAACTATACGGCTGGTCTTTACTGGCCTGTATCTTTATAACTTTTATTTTGTATCTGAATTGTACGACCTTTTTGATTAGAGGGTAACACCTTTTGTATTTTTGAGACAGTTGCAGATGAAACACAAAAGAAGAATGTCCATACAGGTGTATGTACTAAATGTATGATGTTTGAAGCTATTTAGTTTTTAATAAATTAATGATTTTGCGTTAACACTCTAAGTTGTTTAAAAGGGGATACAAACTTGTAAAGGTGACAAGCAAACATAAAACCCTTCTTTATTCTACTAATGTCTTATAGTCTAGCAGTTAGTTAATGTATTTTTTTCATAAACATTTTCTTTCATTAAAAAATAAACGGCAAACAGTCTGGAGGCGAGAGTGGCGTCAATTAAAAGCTTTCTTTTGTCTCGCGCCCCTTTTTGAAAGTTAGGGGATTGCCTCCTTTACCCCATTTCTAAGCCTCTACAAATAAATACCCTATTATCAGTGTAAATGTATGTCACAGATAACTTCCGATTTGCTTCAGTTGTCTGAGCCACAATCCTGTCCTATAGTCTCGATGTTCACATAATCTAACACAAGTCAGACTTATCATTGTCTTTTACCATTGGCAACACGACCGGTTATACATATGGATCATGCACTGCCTACCTGTGCGGAGCGACTGTCATCATCCTCAGTGTTGGGTTCATGTCGGTCATACATTATTTGTATGTATTGTTTTGTAGACAGTTGTCTATCTTATGGTAGATTTTTCTATTTTCGTCGTGGTTTTGTGGGTTTCTGATCGACTCATGTATTTGATTGTTCCTTTTGTATCTCCCGCATCCGTGTAATAACAATCTGGTCAGTATTTTACATTCATGTTAACACTTTTATTTTCATTCCCAGGATTAAATTTAGAATTGATCAACAATATGGGGAATTAAACATACAATTCAATGTAAACGGTTTATGTTAGAGGTAATAAACGACCTATTAGTATCACATAATTTGTCTACATTGAACATATATGTTCGAAATAAAATAAACAGCAATGACCAGGGCAAAGGTTTGCAATGCCAAAGTTGAATCAAAAGATTAGAATAACGAATTTTTAAAGGTAAATATTTTCCTGTCAACAAACATACTAACATGATTAAAGTTATGTTTTACTTACAAATACATCAACTCCACATTGTTCCGAAAGACAGCATCAGTTACGCTAGTTAGAATGTTGTTCGATATATCCCTACATAAAGATAAAAAAAGCCCGTTTGTACAATTAAATGTTTAAGATTTCGAACACTTACAAAAGACAGAGAAGTACTTATATGAGAGTGATTCTTATAAGTTCATAGAATGTGGCGATAATTAATGAGGAACTACTTAAAACAACGAGCAAAACTAGGCATTCTTAAACTACAGGAGCTAACATATTAATTCTAACAGCAATGTATTACCTGATCTTCATTCTAGAGATGTTGGTTGTCTATTGTCCTCTCAAAAATGTTTGTTACTTGACAAATTAGTGCTGATCGCAGCTTGATTTTGTTTTCTAATTTATTTTACGTATCTTTGATCAATTTTATGATAATGATATTTGTTTAAAGACTTTGTTCTCCTTTCGATAAGTTGTAAATATCTAAGATAGGCTTATTCACGTATACCACAGTCTTCTTCAATTATGATTGTAACGTTCAATGAACGTTCATTTGAATTTTAAGATGCTGTAGAAATATCTTACAATAGTAAATCATATTCTATAACACCGCATAGGAATGTTATACACCTGTTAATGATATAAAAGCTAATTTTAAGGTAATATGTATTTTCCAACAAGTTTCAAACAAAGAAAAAAAATTAAAAAACATCTCGGTATGTCATTTTGATACCAAGAACAGAAATTGTGTCAAAATTTTGATTTTTTGTTGTGAAAATACTTATGTTTTTACAAAACATGTTTTAACTACCATTCAAGTGATCAGAATATATTAGTCGGCCTGACCAACCTGCATTAATTCTAAAGCAATTCAAAGTAAGTGTCTAACTAGATATATCAACCTTTTACATCGTTTATGCCGAACTAAAAATGATGTTCATGGAACTATATTTTACTTTGGAATATTTCAATATAACTTTGCATCCTTGAGCATGTTGCACTTTGCACAAAACAGTAGATATAAGGTTCCCTATTTAGTTACATTCTGATTCATCACACCCACAAATATTCCAAGAAAGATTTAACAAATCAAAACAATAAATCAGAACACACATAACAAGTTCATATTATGTTTTAGATAAAAAAAAATAACATAAAAACGGTGCAGTAACAGCAGGTATCGTATAGTTTTTTTCTGCTAGACAAGTCAAATCTGAGTCAATAGCCGAGGACCGTTCACCTCACTTTATGAACTATACAGCTGGTCTTTACTGGCCTGCATCTTTATAACTTTTATTTTGTATCTGAATTGTACGACCTTTTTGATTAAAGAGTAACACATTTTGTATTTTTGAGACAGTTGCAGATGAAACACAAACGATGTATGTCCATACAGGTGTATGTACTAAATGTATGATGTTTGAAGCTATTTAGTTTTTAACAAATTAATTATTTTGCGTTAACACTCTAAGTTGTCTAAAAGGGGATACAAACTTGTAAAGGTGACAAGCAAACATAAAACCCTTCTCTATTCTACTAATGTCTTATTGTCTAGCAGTTAGTTAATGTATTTTTTTCATAAACATTTTCTTTCATTAAAAAATAAATGGCAAACAGTCTGGAGGCGAGAGTGGCGTCAATTGAAAGCTTTCTTTTGTCTCGCGACCATTTTTGAAAGTTAGGGGATTGCCTTCTTGACCCCATTTCTAAGCCTCTACAAATAAATACCCTATTATCAGTGTAAATGTATGTCACAGATAACTACCGATTTGCTTCAGTTGTCTGAGCCACAATCCTGTCCTATAGTCTCGATGTTCACATAATCTAACACAAGTAAGACTTATCATTGTCTTTTACCATGGGCAACACGACCGGTTATACATATGGATCATGCACTGCCTACCTGTGCTGAGCGACTGTCATCATCCTCAGTGTTGGGTTCATGTCGGTCATACATTATTTGTATGTATTGTTTTGTAGACAGTTGTCTATCTTATGGTAGATTTTTCTATTTTCGTCGTAGTTTTGTGGGTCTCTGATCGACTCATGTATTTGATTGTTCCTTTTGTATCTCCCGCATCCGTGTTATAACAATCTGGTCAGTATTTTACATTCATGTAAACACTTTTTTTTTCATTCCCTTGATTAAATTTAGAATTGATCAACAATATGGGGAATTAAACATACAATTCAATGTAAATGGTTTATGTTAGAGGTAATAAACGACCTATTTGTATCACATAATTTGTCTACATTGAACATATATGTTCGAAATAAAATAAACAGCAATGACCAGAGCAAAGGTTTGCAATGCTAAAGTTGAATCAAAAGATTAGAAAAACGAATTTTTAAATGTAAATACTTTCCTGTCAACAAACATACTAACATGATTAAATTTATGTTTTACTTACAAATATTTCAACTCCACATTGTTCCGAAAGACAGCATCAGGTACGCTAGTTAGAAGGTTGTTCGATATATTCCTACATAAAGATAAATCCTGAATATCATAATATAAACATTAGACTGTAAATTTAATTATTTCTTTCTATTGATTCCATCTGGATGGAGGACACCCAGTGTTTTTATCCAAAACTTCTCCCGATTCTCTCTTTGCCTATTTTGCCATGTACAATCCTGTTCGATCACAAGGATCTTCATGTGATCAAAATCTTTCAGATTGTGATCTGGTAACCTGAAGTGTTGGCTGACAGGAATATACGGGATTTTGGATTAAAATCAATCGACCAAAACTTACCTGTATTATTACTGATCTATGTTTACACCTTATACATTATATATCAGTATTTTTTAAACTTTTAACAGTGAGGAAGGCCATTTGTTGAGCCGAAATATTTGCAATTATTGTATAATTTATATCATCTGTTCAGTTTTTCCATCTTTGTGCGATGATATTCAACACTTTTTAGTGTTTTGTTTTCCATCTATTTATCGGTATTGTTACACAATCTTTTAGACTCATATATATATATATATATATATTTCTCTATAACTATGTTATTTGTAGTGAATGAAAACATGATATTCTAATGATTATTTAACTCTCTACATTATTATATTATATTAAACTAGGTAACAGCCCAAAAACTATATACCATAATTCATAGCTAATTTTAAAAATGTACTTATCACGTGAACCAATAGTTTGATAAAAAATTGAATAAATAAACAATAAATATTTACAAAACACATACAAGCGCAAACAGCAGTTATTGTATGTTATTGTAAAGAAAGTACAGTAATAATAACTTGATAATTAGTAGTGATTTGTGTGTTAAATAATTTTTTTTAAAAATTTGATATTTTTTTTTTCAATTTTTACTGTCTGAATTACATCTGAAGTATTTTGCAACGGAATATTTCGAAGGCATTTTAAACAACTTAGCAGAAAGCAACGTTTTATATAGTTAGTAAGTAAGTTATATGTAGTGTGAATCCTTACACAAACAAACAAAACGAAGTCAATAATTTATACTATTACCGTTTTAAATAAACGTCCTTGTAGGTCCTTTTTGGTATTTGATAACCGTGCGATATTCGGGTACTCGAGTACATGTTGACATCCATAATATATCAGAAAGTTGTAAACAAATTGCTCCAGCAAACAACCCTCTCCTTTCTATTGGCCAGTAAACATTTGATGCATACTTTTAGGCATTGATGATGTCAGTCTTTTTTAATGATGATGATTTTCATCTTGGTTTTTTTTTTTTTTTAATTTTCATCGAAATCGTTTGGCCGGCCTGATATGATTCCCTGTATGTAAGGATGTGCGTTTACCCAAAGTTTAGTTTTTAAGGACCTCTCTTAAGTTACTTAGCTCGTAACTCTTGGACTTTCAATGACATTCAAACTCTGAGATTGGAATGTTCTTAATAAGTAGATCAATTCTGTAAGTCTGACGAATCATTCTACATGTTCGCCAATGTTAGTTTATTGATGACACTGTGTTATGACATGTTGTATAAAATGGCAGAGAATATATAATATGTAACATATAGTAACTACATACAACTGTACTGTTGTCTCAGGGAAGCTTGGTACTTCTATAAGTCCTCTGTTTTTGCAGTCATAGGCAGGTCCGTCGGAATAACACACCATTTTACAACTAGATATTATCGTGCAATTTTCATTGCCATTGCAAATCTCTCCAATTAATAATAATAGTGTTATTTCTTTGCACCAAAGTAATATAGACATTTCTATTCTTTATCTTTTCCTGTAAATGTTTTTCATGACAATGTTATACGGAGCTTTTTTTATATTTTGTTCATTGTATATATGTTAAGAGCAAACATTTATTTATCTATTGCATTCTTTGATCCATAACTTATTTACTGTCATATCAATTATGTTCTCCATTGTATTTGAATCATTCGTTACGGATAAAACAAAAACAGTAATCATCTAAAGTGTAATATTTATTTAGACTATAGTAAACAAACGTGTTATAGCGTTTCTGGAAATGTAAATAGACTTTTATAAAGTTTTGCCACTAATTATATATTTTGATAGTTAAAAAAGTATCTTTGTAACTTTTATTGTTGTGCCCTTTTCATGTTAGTATTATACTCTGCTTAACTTTACTACAATGTTCAGCTGGAAACTTATTTTATGATAATTTTAGGAAGTGGTAAAATTGTATCTATGACTTATTGGAACGTTAGTATTTACTTGTAACGATAAACATTATAGATTTCGTACGTTTGCATATATCATGGCATGTTCGTAAAAATTAACAGTGATTAAAGAATTGTCTAAAGAATATATGTTGTCACGATTCTATCTCTTGATATAATTGTTATTTTTGTCTCGAAACTTGCTTGTCTTACGAACTCTCACTTGTAATTTTAGATGTAATGTTTTTTTTTAATGAAAGAACGAAATATTCACTATAATATAGTTAAATATAATCCATGTACATATATGCATGCATATGCATAACACTGATGGTAAAACGAAGATTAGGGTGCACATGATTACAAAGTTCATATATAACAATATGGAAAAGAGGTTTCATTACCGATGAGACAATGTCCCATCAAAGATTAAATAACACAGATGTAAATAACAACAGACCACTATTAGGCCTGCAACAATAAGTAAAATGCATTCCGTAGAATTAGAGAAAATGCAGAGCCAGATGATTAAGAGCAAATATTTCAAAGGAGATAAAAGACGGTCTATATTAAATAAAAAAACTTCAGATGTTTGATAATTGAAAAAAGATACAATGCATTAATTCTACAAATGCAATATAATGAACAACGCATTAACATATATATATATATATATATTTAACAAGAATAATTGCAAGCATTATCTAGAAAAAGTTTTATTGAAACAATACAAAGTTTGTCATATCTCCATTTCGACTCTAATTATAGAGGATTATGAACATGTCTTTAACATGTCACTTTATGAATTTTGAGGTAAAATATATATTTAGTTGAGTTGGTTATAGCTAATGAAACACTCAAAGTTCTCGATTTTTTAGGGTTTTTTTTAGTTTTTGTTTTCGTTAACTTAATTTTGAACTGTTTAATGTCAGTAAAGAAATGATTGACTTGGGCTTAATAGACTGTCTATTATACAAAAACTCAGTTAAACTGTGTTATTATCAAGATGAATATATTTTGAACAAGGTTACAAAGTGTGACGGCTATCTTGATAATAATAGATGATAACTGATCTTGTTTTAGATAATAACTTCATATACTTTTTTTTAATTTTGCAATGTAGCTATTTAATACTTGTTGATACTAACAGATTAATTGTACTTGCAGGTACAGCACGTTTTTTAAATTAAAAAGTAAAATAACCAAATTATTAAGCACAGAGGAAAATTCAAAACGTTCCTAATCAAATGGCAAAATCTCAAACACATTAAACGAATGGAGAACAACTGTCATATTCCTGACTTGTTACAGGCATTTTTCCTATGTAGAAAATGATAGATTGAAAATGGTCTTATAGCTAGAAAACCTCTCACTTGTATAACAGTTGCAAAGACTCCATTATATTGACTACAATGAGTCAAAAATAGGGGTAAAGCAGTCAAAATTGTGTTATAATCTTAATCACTATTCAAACAAACATATACAAATGTATGTCAACAAAGATAACAAAAAGGGCATAAAGACAAAGCACATGAGCAAAAACAAAAGACAAAAATACAAAAAACAACCATAGCACAATAACACAATGACGGGATGTATAAGTACCGAGCCACGTGAAATGAATATTACCAAAAACAGACTAAACAGTAAAGATAATAATGTACAAAGACAAATAAAAGAACACTATAACATGTAATTAAGATGACAAGCAACGTTAGTACCTCGAATCTATACTTCAAATCTATCGTGTATTATTGAAGTTGATACGAATATTTATCAACAAGGTCTTGTTATCTTTGTTATGAACTTTTCTAGAAAAAGGACGAGACGTTCTTTGACATAACACTGGGTCATCGTTCTGTACAGACACTGGTGACGTTTTACAAGGTCTGATTAGCAGCTACAAGCTCTTCAATACCGAATGAATTGGGAAATGTATATTCCATATGCAGGTTAAGTTGGTATATTGCTACTAAAGTACGACCGAAAGGTTTAAATGATGCCGTTAGACTTGCCGTTGAATTAGAGGCGTACAACAAAGCCGAAAATAAAGATAGAGAGGGACGAGGTTATTTACTGCAAACTATAAATGATGACGAGTTAGAAAAGGACGAAAAGATTAAAAATAGTGACTCGCTAACGAAAGACTTTTCATCATGGAAGCAAACAATGGTGAAAAGTCTAAGTACTCTTACGACTGAAGTAGCAAAATTAAAAACTATTGGAACAAATGAGGGGTCTTCTTATGATAAAACGAGATATACTCAAAGTAAGAGAATAATTAAGAATTGTTACAACTGTGGCAAATTTGGTAATTTAGCAAGGAACTGTCGCCTACCCCGAAGAAATCAGAACACTTATAATGGAAATAAAGGGGATGGGTCTGTTAAAACACTAATGAAAGTTGGGAAACAGTGTCGGAAGATGCTGGTATGTTAGTCAAATCAAATGTAGGAGACATTGAAGCAAAGTTTGTGGTTGAAACAGAGCAACTTTGACATTGGTTTCTTCTAAGTTATACGATATGTTGACTCCATTAGATAAATCCTATCTAAACGAAGTTAAGACAACTGTTAGGTCAGTAGGTGGCAATAAGCTAGAGCTTCGAGGAAAAGTCAGTTTCAATCTGCGTTTCGGTCCAAATAAGTTGCAATCTGAAGCTGTTGTGACTGATCTGCAAGTTGATGGTATACTTGGTTTGGCTTCATGAAACGACATAATTGTTAAATTGATGTTACAATTGGGCTCTTTTGTATTGGGGATTTTAAGGTAGATTTGTGTTTTCAGTGATCAATAGGCTGTTACCGAGTGGTTGCTTCAGAAGCGGTTGTCATACCGCCAAGGTCAGAAATTGTCATTTATGGCACAGTTTGTTTAGCAGAAGGTCAAAAATTACCTGCTGACAATGCTTTGTTAGAAGCAAATGACCATGCAGGAAAAGACTACATTTTGACTGCTAGAACATTGGTAAGGTCAGGCGAAAAAAAGTCCCTGTTAGATTAATGAACACAGAGCTAGATCCTAAGACAATCCATCCTGGTACTACTATAGCCCAAATGTCAGAGGTTGCCCAAGTACTAGACG